AAAAGCATTCCGTCTTCCAAGAATGAGAGCCCTGCGCTTCTCTCCTGGAGAACCTGGTGCCCTGAGCAGGGAGGGGAGGTGGCTGCAGGCAGAGCGCTGGGGTGGCCGTTCCTCTCCTGGAGGTTCTGGGAAGTGGTCCGTGGGGGACCCTGAGTGCAGACAGAAGGGTGGGGCTCGCCTCCTCCGGGGCCTCTGGATGGACAGGCCAGAGCTCCAGAGGCCCAGGGCGATGGAACCTCTGCCTGGGTGGGGCTCAAGGCGACTCCTGCCCTTGGAGCCATTGGAGCGTCCCCAGAGCCAGCCGCCCTCGTGGGCACACAGGCCCTTCCCCGCCCACACGCGACACATCCTGACCTGCCACACCTTCTCCTTCACCATCCTGTGGGACCCAGCCCTGGGCCTGGAGTCCGTCTTCTACAAGACGGCCTCGCCCTTTGTCCAGGCCCGGAGCCTGCGACACTTCCTGGCCCACACCCGCGCCTTCTACGACCCCCGGCGGCCCGACAGCCACTGTTGGGCGCTTCCAACCCATGGCCTCGGACCCGGGCTTCGACCACAACGCCGCCGCCGCCTTGTGGGGGTGCGAGCGGTGGCCGCCGCTTCCCCTGGTGCCATCGCCCAGCACCGCGACGAGTCCCCGGGGCTGCTGCGCCGCGCGGTGCTGGGTCTGGATGACCTGGTGGCCTCCCCGCCCACAGGCGCGGCCTTCGCCCGGAGCCGGCTGGAGCCGCGCGTGGACGCAGGGAGCGGCGCCTAGAACGCGCTGGACCTGGCGCTCTGTGGCGACCTTGAACCTCACTCTGTGGGCGCGGCTGCGGCGCGGGCGCGGGGCTGCGGCCGGAGGTGGCGGCGCTGCGGGCGCAGTGGGCGCGCACCTGCCTCCCGCATGGCGAGGCCGCGGGCCGGGCGCGGAGTTGACCCGCAGCGGGGCGCCGCTGCAGCACGACCTGGCGGCCACCCTGGGCTACCAGCTGCGGCCAGACCTGGACCCGGGCCCACCGCCGCCACGGCCGGGACCTGGGCACCCCCGAGCTGCAGTTCGCCGGGCGCCTGTACCTGACCCGTTCCCGGATGCGGGTGTGCGGATCCCGGGGCGCCCTGGGCGGAGCGAGGACCGCGCCAGGGCTGCCTCGGGCCCCGCAAGCCCCAGGGCCCAGAGGAGGAAAAATGCGGGCGCGTGTTCAGAGGAGCGGCGGGGGTCCTTAGGCCCTGCGAACGAAGGCCGCGCCTCATTGCCTCCTGTCTACTGTGAGGACCCCACAGGCGGGGAACAGTGGCCAGCGGCCGGCGCAGCCTGACTGCCGCTGCCGCCGCTCCCTTTTCTGCGCATCCTTCCCAGGCGGCGCGAAAGCCTGTTTTAGCGACTTGCTTTTCTTTCAGTCCTACTAAGCGCTATGTATGGATCGTGCCTATGCGCATGAGATGCAGCGATTCCAAGTCTATTTTGGCTCAAGTGTTTTTTTTTTTCTCGTCTTTGTGTTTTGTACCGGAGAGTTTGTTCTGTTGCCTCAGGCCCCTGCAGAAGTGCCGGTGGCATGATCTCGGCATCACTGGCAACCTCTGCCTGTCTCCAGCGGCTCCCGAGTGTAGCTGCGGACTACAGCACGCGCCCGACCCACGCCCATAATTTTTGTATTTTTTTTTTTTTTTTTTTTAGAGAGACAGCGGTTTCACCATGTTGGCCGAGGATGGCTCTCCGATCTCTTGACCTCATGATTCGTCCGCCCTCGTCCTCCTAAAGTGCGGGGATTACAGGCCCAAGCCACCGCGCCCGGCATTTTGGCAGCTTTTAATGTGGAGAAGGCTCTTTCTGCTGAGGGAACATTCCGGAGATGTTGGGAGTGTCTCATAGGCTGTGACGAGCTGGGAAGCTGCTCTGCTGAGCCACCTGGAGTCGCAGATTTTAGCACATCTAGAGCAGATGAGCGGCTATTCCCACAAATGTTCACGCTTCAGACAGATCACTTTTTGGATCATAAGTTTGAGTGTGGTTTTAGAGGCAAATCTATCCTGATTATGTTTGCCCTGACGTTTCCTGTACTTGTGGAGCTCATAGGAGAGACTGAAGGTGAATTCACGATTATACACAACTTACAACGTCTGTTTGTGAATTCTAACAGTGTATCTTCAACTGTAAGAAAATGTATTTCGAAACTTCTTCTGCATTATTACCTGGATACTCCAACATCTTATATGAAAACTGTGCTCATTTCTGTCAAATGCAGTGGCCCTTGCTTCAAGGCTTGTGGATTTTGTTGAGAATTTCGAGATTTTCAGAAATTCTAAGCTGGAGTAACTCTAACAGCCTCCTGGTTACTTCACGGAGAGGTGGCTGTGTCTGCTCCTCCCAGGCTCAGGTACTGACAGCTCCTGCCTGAGCACCGGGCCCTCCCTGCTGGAGGGATCTGTGCAGAGGCTGCAGGCACTCCTGGGGGAACAGACACACCTCCGGCACCAGGGGCTGGGTGCTGCCACCCGAGGAGAAGCCCCTCTCCTTCCTGGGGCCGCACCCCCTGCTGCTGCTTCTGCGGCTGACATGTGACACCGGGGCATGGCCAGGCCCTCAAGCAGAACGCCTGTGAGGGGAGCTGGTTGGCCCCACCCCAGCAGCTCCCCTGTGTGCTCAGCAGTCCTTTGCCTGGCAGCATCTGGCAGCCCCATCGGCGCCTCTGGAAGACACACAGGACTGGCTCTCAGGTGTGTGCCACCGGGTTCCTGTCCCCACTCCACAGCAGGGAAGAGGAGCCCGGGGCTCCAGAAACAGTCAGCTCTTTGCCTGGGTGGGAGGGGCTTTATGGCGGGGAGGAGGGTGTGTGTGTGAAGGGGCAGCCTCGGGGTGGGGGGAGATTCTTCTTTCTCTCCCTCCACCAGATGCTGGTCCAGGAAAATGTGGCCTCACCGGCATCCCCAGGGAGAAGCCCACGCACCATGAGACGGGAATAATACAGGGTGGTTGGAGGGGAGTGGACATTCCAGGCAGCCCCTTCTCATCTCTAGGAAGAGGAAACCCTGCAGGACGCAGGGGCTGACAGGACCCCACACACCAGGGTGTGGCCGCGCTGGCTGAGACCCCCTGGACCCCACAGGGCTCTGGGTGTGCCCCGGTGTCTCCTGTGGCCTCACGATGCGCTCATTAGCATACGCATCACACCCCCACCGCGCACGACGGCTCCAGAGCACCCAGATCTGTGCAAAAATGGGCGGCCGTGCAGCTCGGAGACATCTCCACCTTTTCCAGGAATCCTGTGGATTCTCCTCCGGCCGCAGCGCCCCTGCGTGGGACGGACTCTAGAGGGCGCCACACTCCCTTTCTCCAGTGGGAGCTTCGGCCTTCGCAGGAAATCTCTGGCCTTTCACTATTTGCCGACTCGCCCCTGATTCCTTCTCGCGGTGGTGTCCAGAGCCTGGACGCTGGCCGGGTGGAGGTCTCACTGGGGGTTGGGGTGTCCCCTAGCCCACCGAATCGGGGACATCTCCCTGCTTTCTCCTCTCCTCCTTCCCCCATAGCAGAGCAGCTGGGCCCAGGGGCTGCGGCCCACCAGAGGAGGACCTCACTCACTCCCTCTGGATGGGGCAGCAGGACCCGCAGCAGAGGGGCCCTTGTCTCTTTTGGGTGGAAGTTTCCGGACCGGCTCTGTTCTTTGAGAAGGAAATGGCTGGAGGCGCCATGTCTCCAGGTCCCAGTTCTGCCACAAGGTCCCAGTGAATGACGTGGCTTTGGGTGACGACCAGGCCATGGTCCTGAGGGACGCGAACTCAGGGGCGGTGGGACTGGGTGCCCTGTGCCTGGTTCACACCCACACACAGGCAAGGGGAGAAGCCAGGGTACCCCTAGGATTGGTAGAGCGGCGGACCCCACTATGTTGTCTTTGCTCGGTCCCTCCAGGAGAACCAGAGGCCTTTCTTTAAAGCTGAGGCCAATGGACAGGTTCCGGTTTCCTCTGGGTCCAGCTTGGCCCCACAGGCCTCTCCCGCCCCCTCAGGGGGCATCAGAACTGTGAGGCCCTGTGCTGGGGCCAGAAGGGCCCAAGGTGACCCATGTTCCACGGTGACCTTTGACCTGGCCCAGAGTCCCATAAGCACAGGTCATTACTTTTGATCGGAGGTCAGCTGGGGCTGGGGGGCACCCAGGAGGAGCTTCCAAAGCAGGGGTACAGGACACAGCTTGAGGGAGGCTGGAGGTGGCAAAGCCCAGGCCCCTGGTGCCTGCACAGGGACCTAGATTCCACCCTGCCCTCATGAGCACAGTGGGGCCTGGTCCCAAAGTTCTCCTCTTAGGGCTCTGCTCCTGGTCTGCATCCAAGTTGACATTCCCTTTCTCCCCAGGCCCAGCACTGCACCCGCAGGGCAGCCTGGATCTCACTGAAGAAGCCCCAGGGAGCAAAGAGCCCAAAATATTAGTGAGCAGGGACCCCCAGCCTCATGTGGGTGACTGTCCCCAGTGGGTTCATGCCTGTCTCAGCAGAACAGGCGGCTCTGTGCTTCAGTAGGTGTGTTTACCTAGACCTGGGTCTGTGGAGGCAGTCCTTTCTTCCTTTCCATCTTTTTTCCTGTTTAGCTTTCTTTTATTTCTGCATATGTCTATGTATCCCTTTTCCCATCTATACATCTATCCCCCATCCATCCCTCCATCCATCCATCCATCCATCCACCCACCCACCTATTCACTCATCTATCAATATATCTATCTACCTGTCCATCCATGCATCCATTCATCTGTCAATTCATTCATCTTTCCACCCAACCACCCATCTCTCCACCATAGTACCCATCCACACACCCGTTCACTCATCCGTCCATGCATCCATCTATCCAGTCAGTGATTTGCAGCTGTGAATCTGGTGTTCTTTCATTTCCCATCTCTCTCAGCCAATGACTTGGCTCCTCCCTTGTTCCCTCAGATACCCTTGAATGTACCACCTTCTCTGCGGGCCCCGGACCCCTGACTCAAGAATGGTGTCTCCATGGTCATGTGGTTGGGTGTCAATCACAGATCAAGGAACTCCTCACAGCAGCTCTGTTTCTGAAAGGGCTGGTGACACAAGGCAGGGGAAGGACGTTTCAGGCTGAGGCAGGAAAGGCGGAGGTGGGAGCACCGAGTAGAGCCTGCTTTATGCTATTCATAAAATCAAACATCTCCCCTCGTTTGCCGCCAGCTGCTGGGCAAAAACAGCTCTCGGTCGAAAGGCTTCCAACTCAAGAGGCTGGCCTTGCAACAGCAATCTCTGTTGGTACGGGCTCCACACAGGAACGTGGCTTTGCCGTGGGGCCAGGGGCTTGGCGCACCGCTTAAACCAGCTGGCTGGCTTGGCAGCCTCGCAGGCCTGAGCCGTCTCCAGGCAGGCGAAGCAGAACTTCGTGTCGCACCGGGAGCACGTCACGTACTTGCAGCGCTCCTTGTGCTCGATGAGCAGCCCGCACTTGGGGCAGGCCCGGATGGAAGGGCAGCCTTGGATCGAGCTGTCTGGGAGGTCCTTGGTGGCACAGGTGGCGAGGATGTGCAGGATCGGGTCCCTGCAGTCCTCATTGCCACAACGGTTCGAAGACAACATAGGCCCTTTCCAGGCCTGCATGCACTGCCAGCAGAAGTCGTAGGGCACACCCCGTATGGTGCAACAGACTGTGCAATGCACCCGAAGCTCGGCTGGATCCTTCCGCTCCACGAGGCTCCTGCAGCCTGGGCACTGTGGGGAGGGGCCTCTCAGAGCAGGTGGAAGGAGCCCAGCCTCCCCCGCCACCTCCCCGCGGGGACACAGTGAGGGCCCGGCTGTGGGAGGGAAGGACCGCAGGGCAGTGAAGGACTGCGGGGTACTGAGGTGCCTTTCTGGGGACCAGCATGGCAGGGCTCAGACCTCCCGCACTGTAGGGCAGGGCCACAGGACCTGAGGACTCTCACCACTTTCAGGTTGCAGTAGCGTCTCATTGCAGCCTGGGCAAGTCCTTGCTCGAACTCCTGCTGCTCAGAGTCGCTCAGCTGGGTGCAGCGGCGTACCTCCGGGTAGAGCCACTGGGCCCCACACTTCTTCCCCTTGACTTCCGCGGGGCAGTGGAGTGTGTACTTGCCCTGAAAAGACAGAGTGGGGAGGGCCCAGAGTGTGCCTCACACCAAAGGCCCCGGTGTGGCTGCAGTCCCCACCGCCAGCCCGCCAGGCCCTGTGCAGACTCCCCTGGGACACCGCCCCTCAGGCCCCCACATCCACCTGCCGCCCTGAGGGGTCCTGAGTGTGCTCTGCGCCCCAAACCAGGCCTCTCGTGGAGCCCAACGTGCACACCGCATCCCACACGTGGGGCTGCAGCCTCCTGATGAGGACCCGGGGTGCTGCTTCCCAGCCCAAGGAAGCCGTTAACTGGATTCTCCCAAAGGAGCTGGGAGCCTGCCTCCCTCCAGATAGCTCAAATCTAGGGGCTCTCCGGCCCCCTCATATGGCAGGGAGGACTCCACATGGCATGGCTGTGGCCGAGCCCCTACCTGTTTTATCAGCTGGAGGCACCAGAGCTTCAGGTTCTCTGGGTCCACTGCATGCCCACAGCTCATCTCCACCCTGTCCACACCGTCATACTCGTCCCCTGTATGGGCCAAGGGTCTTCGTCAAGGGCACAGTGGGGCAGGACTTTGGCACCCCTAGTCCACACTGTTCTTTGCCAGGGCTGTCGGGGGACAGCACAGTCCCTCAGCCTCCTCATCCAGGGTCCTTCCTCTCCCTCCACCACTCTCCTCTTGGCCTGAGCACACAGCCTTGTCCCCGGTGCACACAGAGAAGCCAGGGCCCTTTGCAGGGTAGGCCATCTCTGTGGGGTTCCTCTCTGTGCTGCTCCTGGCACTAGAGCAGGTGCCTGTGCCTTTTCAGCCCCCAACCACCCTGCCCCACCCCTCAGGCCTCATCTGCCATGGCCACCCCCTTCTCCTGGCCTCCCTGGCTGGTCACCAGATTGCAGGGAGGGCAGCAAGGCCAGGATTGGGTGTGGCAGCAGGACAGGACAGGGCAGGGATGGGGACCTCAGCAGCCCTTCAGGGGGCAGTCTCAGGTGTTGGCTGTCAAGGACACAGTGGGGCCGTGAGCCCAGGGAGAGCCGCTCCACAGCGTGGGATGGAGAGGGAAGGATGGTGCCACCTCCATCACAGAGATCTTCAGCACAGGAGCCAGTGGAGGAGGCAGGGAGGGCTCAGCTTCCCACACACTGAGTCTGACCTTCGGGTTTGAGCAGCGCCTGCCCCTGTTGTCATTAGTGCCCCAGATTTAATGGCGGTCCCTGAGAAAGTGGTCTAGAAGCAGCCAAGGACAGAGTCCTGTGTGCAGGACCAGGCTCCGGGGAGCACGAGGAGAAGTCCAGCATGTGTGCACAATGGAGGGTGACCCCTCCCCAGGCTCCTATGCAGAGCCTCTGGGGACTTCCACTCCAGATGAGCCCAGCGCAGAGGGAGGAGGGGCACCTGGAGGCTGTGGGTTCATCCCTGGCTCTGCTGGGCCTGGGAAGGCTTGCTTTCTCCCCGAGCCTGTTTGACTACAGAGACAGGGTGGGGAAGCTGAGCCCATGCCTGGCAGCTGGGACCCTGGAGGGCCTGGCTTGTGGGGATCCCTGGTGGTCCTAGGGGGCCCGCTGCTCTTCCTGGCCCTGCGTCCAGCACCGAGCCACATGTGGCTAACACAGCCCAGGCTTCTGGCTTTGGGTCCTCCCATCTTGGAAGTGGGGCCCTTCCTCGGCCCCTTTGCTCCAGCCTGGAGCTCTGGAGTCATGCTGGATTTATTTCCCCCCACTTTTCCCAGACCCTGCGGGGAGGGGTATCATACCCTGGGGGCTCCTCCCCACCTCCCCAAGGTCCCCCCAAGGTCCCCACCTGCTCTGGCCTTGCCCAGGGAAGACCCTTGTGAACCAAAGTTCTCTGAAAAGGAATCTGGAGGAAAGGGACTTTATTCCAGTGAACAGTTTGTGAACCCTGGAGGCTCAGCCTCCTGTGCCTGAAAGAGCAGGGGAGGTCAGAGGCGCTATGGAAAGGAGAGGTGTGATGAGAAGGAGTGCCTTCTGCATCGCTCGTTTCACTGGCACTGGTAAGGTTCCGAGGAGTTGGCAAGCGCTGACTAGGGAGTGCTCCCCGTGGTGTGGAAAACTCGTCTGAGTATTGTAGCCAGACTCCCGGGTCAGGAGATAAAACAGACTTCAGGTTACAGCCGGTGGCGTTCTCAGCTGCCAGGCTCGCCGAGAAGGCTGTTTGGAGTGATGTTTTGTGGTCTGAGTGCTGTCTCCCCCCTGGCTTCTCAGCTCTCTGGCCGAGTATGACAAGAATGACCCAGTTCCTAGGATCAACATCCACACCCTCCCAGCAGAAGCTCTCAGCCCTCCCCTCCCCCCCCCCCTGCAGCCCTCCCCTCCACTCCCTGCAGCCCTCCCCTCCCTCCACCCCCTGCAGGCTGTTTGACTACAGAGACAGGGTGGGGAAGCTGACACCACCCGCCACTCGACCTCACTTCCACCACCACCTCTGCGCCCATTCCCATAAGTCACTGTCTAGGCTACCCCTCCACACTACATCAGAATTCAGCCCCTGGCCCCCTTTTTCGGCACCCTTTTTGCGCGGTGCCCAGGCATCTCCCATGCCGACGTAAGTGGCTGAACCCTAGCCTTCCCCATACCCCGCCACCTGACCTGCACAAGCGCCCACAATAGATCCACAGCTACCCCCGATGACAAGCGTCCGGGCTGCGAAGCGCGCCGGTTCTTCCTCCGAACTAATTGAACCCAGCTTCCCCGAGCGCCCATCCCTCACAGACTCCCTCTCCCGCTGCTAAGTTCCCAGGGTCACCAGAGTAGATACTAGCGCTCTAAGAGCTGTGCCCGAAGCCCAGCAAGCGGTCGAAGGGTCTGCGGCTTCGGAAGGTTACCGAGGTTCTCGCTCAGCAAGGCTCCCAGCAGCTTGTTTTCTTCAAGTTGGAACTTGGGTGGGGTGATGGGGAGGAACACCTTTCTTACATCCACCTTTCAGTCCAAACGCACAGCCTCTAATTAAATCCAAGTACCTACCGAACCCCACCCACACCTACCGTGTCCATGCCCGGACTCACCATTATCTCATCTTTGAGCCCGCACGAACTTGAGCGGGGGCCTACAGGGGCGCTGCCTGGTAGCTTCTGGGAAGCTGGACTTGGGGTCCCTGGGCTACGGTCGCCTTTGCCCTCTCACAGCTGGCAGGAGCAGTCCAGCAGCTCAGGCTCCAGCCCCACCCTACCCACCCCGTGTCCCCGCCCACTGGGAGCTGCCTGGTCCACCCCCCGCCAAGGGCTGCCAAGGGAAGGGGGCCCCAGGGTGCACGCCCCCATCTCTGATGCAGCCAGCAGTGTCTTAGTATGCTCGTGGCCTTCAGCTAGGGATAATGGGCAAAAAAAAAAAGTTCTTGGGTGGGACCCTTCGACCCTGATGTCGCACCCAAGCACGGACGCTTGCTGAGCTGCAGGCACACAGGGAGTGGTAGGGGTCCCCCAGGCCAGTGCCGGCTCCAGGCCAGCGCATGGGGAGTCCCACCCTCAAGGCAGTTAGCCAAGCGTTCAGGGGCCCGCGTCTCCCAGGCTCCTCCTGCCTGTCTGTCCTCATGTCACAGATGAGTGAAGTTATCGGTGTTGGCGGGAAGTGGCGTATGGTTTGCTCTTGTCTCCAATGTGCTCTGCACCTGCCATGGGGGGTACTGTCTCCCCCCCTGCCGCCCAAGGCCAATGCCATGGCGGGCAGGAGGTCGCCATGGAACCTGGGCCCAACTCCAATAAAACAGAAGCATAAAAAACAAGGCAGGGGCAGCCTGCGCCAAGAGGGGGACAGGGCGAAGGGCAGTGGGCTTCCCCCTTTGGGGCCCCTTCCTCCCCCCAGGATTTCCCAGTCCCTCTTCCCCCTCCAGCACCCCACACAGAAGCGACGAGGCGGGAGTTCCAGAAAACGTTCTGCCAGAGGAGAAGGAACTGAAACCGCGCGCGCCACGTCACAAACCGTCGAGGAGCCCCACGCCCATCCTTCCTGGCCCTCACCCAGTTGCCCAGAGAAGGCAGCCAGCGGCGAGCGACTTTGTCCTGCGCGCCCACCAGGGAACGATGCCGTCCCAGATGGGTGAGGCCTCGGATTCCCGTGCCATGATATCGCTTTCGTTCGCCGGGTAGGCAATCCCTGCCTTCTTTGCCCCTACCGGTGTCTTCGGTTCGCGCGGTGGGGCTCGCCCTGCGCCTGCCAGCGCTGCTGCCCCCTTCTCCGCCGGCCCCGGCCTCTGTCCTGCTGCTCTGGCGCCTGTGTCCGGCCGGCACACGAGAGGTGGCCCGGGAGCCGGGCTGTGCAAGCCCCGGCCGGGAGGCCTGCACTGCTGCGTGCTGGCGGGGAGGGGATCCAGCCTGTGCCTGGAGGGGCTCTCTGCCTGGTGGAGAGCAAGGTCTCCACTCTGATCACTCTTCCCTGTACCCAAAGGAACAGTTAAACTTTCCCCTTGGGGATGGCCGGGCTGCCTGTGCCTCCACGCGCCTCCGGGACGACTCCTGCAGCTGCCTGCGGGCTCCTCGTTGTGGATGGCCCTGCGTTGGTTTGTGTAGCGCACTCGCGCCCCCGGCCCAGTTCCTCCTCAGTTTCGCTGTGGGTGCCTTTCACATGCTGCTGGAGCTCAGAGCAGTCCACTCTGGCCCGCGTCCGTGGGACACCCAGCCCTGGAGTCCAGCACAGAGCCCCTGATCCGTCCCCCCGGCCGCCGCAGGGACATGCTCGGTGTGTGAACACCGTGAGGCAACACTATTTGCTCGACCGGCGCGCTGCAGGGTGCTGCTCGGGCAGGAACCTCAGCGCGTGGCCGTCGGGGCCGCTCGATCGCGTGATCCACCAGAGACGGTCCGCTCGGTAAGTCCACACCTCCAGCATGGCCCGCGGGTGGCATGCTGGGAGCTCCACGGAACCCGAGCTTACTCTCCCAGCACTCTGCCACCTCAGTACAGGACATTCCTCAATGGCCTGCGCGCCGCAGCTCTCCCCTGGCGCAACGCATACTCTTGGATCCACGCCCGCTTGCCGCGCAGGTATCTCGCAAAAGGCGAAAGCAGTTGCCTGTTACTGTTCCGGGGCCCTCTGTCGGCACTGCGAAGCATCTGTTGTCACCCACAGCTGGCGATGCTGAGACACCGCGTGCGCCCGGGGAGGCGCTTCCAGGTAGGACTCCTGGGCCTCTTGGGCCAGGGCC